TTCAGCTGTGCTGTGAGACAGTAACACAAGGGTTACTTGGCCACATCTGGTATCTCTTTTAAGGAACAGTGCCTTGTGGAGCCCATATGTAACTGTGCTCCTATGCAGGGAGAGATCCCAGGTAGGCACTGGACTCCCAGGGAACAAGAGCAAGGCAGGAAGTCGAGCCCATTTTCCTGTGTGGGGACTCTCCTTTGATGGCTGCGCTTTGACTTTAGAATTTGATATTATAAAGGAACAAATGGCTTCCTTACAGGTGTTTGAAGCTATGCATCAAGACTCCTTTTCTCATCTCTGGAACACCCTACACTTCTTTCACATCTTCTCCTGTACAGGAAATGCATCTTCAGTTCTTAAACTTTTTATAACTGTAAGATTTCCAAATCATTTATTGTATTGATTAGTTTCTTTAGGAAATTAGCCTGACAGCTGTGATTTTTTAATACTGAGGAATGGAATCCAGAGGCACTCTCTAGCTGAACTACATCCCTAGCCCTTTGTATTTTTTTTATTTTGAAACAGTTTGTAAGTGTTGAACTTAGGATCCTCCTACCTTAGCTCCAGTGCAATTGAGTTTCCAGGCTTGTAATGCCATGCCCAGCATGACACCTGTAATTTTTACATGGCTCATATAAGAAATTTCTGAATCACAATATATTTTGGCAGACAAGCCCAGACTGTAGGTACTTACTAGACCCTATTTATTGGACACTTCATCAAGGTTCAGAGTTGAGCTGGTGAAGTGATGTCTCTGTTCAGGCTACATTGGAACACTTTTTGTTTACACGTGTGCCCTGGGACCTCTGAGTGGTGACTCATGCTGCACCCTCTGCCCAATATGTATTTTAATATGTAAAAAGAGTTTGCACATTTATAAAAATATTTAGTAAACATCATCTGGGAATCTAAGAAATGGTAATGCCATCTCAGCTACTGTTTCTAAGTTAGAGATGTTGGTTTTTCTTTGAATTCATTTAATTCACTTTACAAATAACTTACTGAGTGTCCACCGTAAGTCAGAGGGTCTGTGTTACTTGACTCAGGAAATACAGAATGAATGTGACACAGCTTTTGTCCTCAGTAAACGTGTAGACTCTTAAGGAGATTGCACATCTACCTGCCCAACGTAAATTCCATAAGAGAGAACTGCATCTCATAGGGAGGAATAAGGAAGATATCTTCAAGTTATAAAAATTTTATTAGGATAAGATTACAGACACAGATTGTGTTTATTGTAGTCTTTCCAGTGATAGGAAGTAGAGATGTGCTTGTCCTGCTTCAATGAGTGAGGTTTGTTGAATGCACCACAGGAAGTGGGAAGGACAGGAAATCAGTCTCAGCAGCCACCCAGGGAGGCCTCATGGAGAAACAGATAGTTAGTTCTCTAGTAGTGTGAGAGCCCCTCTGTCATCTCACCACAAGTCAATGCCTATTTCTTTCTCCAGTGATCTTCCCTGTGGACACTCAGCTCCTCTCTGTCTTTCTCTCAATGGCAAAGGCAGCATGTATATGTGCCCCCATTGCACTTCTCAGGAGAGAAAAATCTGTTTTGGCTAATCTACATTCAACAATGAGCACCTCTGCTGGGCAAAGCTCATGGCAGCTGCCTCTTAGGCAGTTTGCCAACGTGCCAACCAGAGGATACATGTTTTTTGGCCTTTCCTGATTCGATAAATTGTGTACAGGACAAAACCATGGGTCACTTGGTATAGAAGAGTGTATTTCAGACTTCAGCATGCATATGAATCCCCTGAGGACCTTGTGGAAAAGTGCACTCTTGATTCAATGGTTCTAGGGTTTCAGGAATTCTCTGTTTCTAACAAGCTCTTAAGCAATGCTGATGATGCCTCTTCTCCTGCTTCTGTATGAATATGACTATGCAGAAGGCAAGGCACTCCATGTGGCAGACTTGTGGTTGTGAGGTGGCATTTCATGAGGGGAATAACTGTGAATAAAAGCGTGGAGGAAGGTGTGGTGTTGAGGTCTATATGTGTTTACATAAAGCCAATTTTGAATATAGTTAAGGTCAATAAGGCATCTTTAGACCAAAAAGTCAGTATTGAAGCAATTCAGATGTAGTTTCTAAATACCAATGTTGTTTATGTTGGCAGATAGTCTTTTCATAATTTTAATCCAAAGCATAGTAAGCAGCTGAGTATGAATTTTCCTTATTCATATTCACTTGAGAGCTTGCTGCATGACTCCTGTCAGTTTGTCACTAGTTCTGTTTTGTTGGTGAGAAGGGTGGTAGGACATGCAGTAGGACTTATTTATCACAAGCAGTTGAGAGCCACCATACCTGGTTTAGACACCAAGCGTCAGATTCCTTCATTCTGGTACCTTGGGAGAATTGCACACTTCTCATTATCTTTGTTGGAGATCCAAAGATGTGAGTTCAACATTTGTTCACAAGGATCCTTAAACCATAATAATGTCTGTTGTCCATTTCAAAGTTTTATTTCTATTCATTTCATAAATAAAATCTAAGACTGATTAAAAAACCAAAGAGGCATTTTACACTTTTATTTAATGATACTAGAGCCCAGCAATTTCAAATCATGGATTATATCTAATAGGAGAGAACTGAATTAAGTATTCAAGTCCTCCTGACATATTGGTAGGTACAAGAGGAAAAGTGATGTCATTTTTTTCTTTGCATTTCATTCACTGTCTTCAGAAGGAAGGCTCCATTGATAGTAACATCTGTTCTTCAGTGTTCAATGACATAAGGGAATAAACATAATATTTTATTTTCTGAAACACACCCATTTCAACTCATTTTTCTTTGAAAAATGACTTATTTTAATATTCGTGGTAAAAAAGGCAAAAACAGTTATTTTAAATAACTGAATCATGAGATCTTTTTTTTCATCCAAGGAAACTTCCAATTTATATGAAAATCTTGAAAAGGATTTTCATAGTTCACCTTTCATTGGGATTCATGTAGAATTTTGAATTACTGGATAGTTTAACCACTTAACAATCTTTGACTACTATGTTTTAAGTTGTCAGTTATTAAAGAAGGAACACTGCTGAGTGTGAGCAAGTGTTTCTGCACAGTTAGAAAGTGCCGACTTTGGAGTCAGACAAATGTATATTTAAATTTCTTCTTAACACATACCTGCTATGTTACCTTCATATTTACTTTGTAGGATTATCTTGAAGATAAAAATAAGTAATGCATAATATTCCCATTTAACAGAATTTTTTTAAAAAGACATGAAGATTTTTTTTTTAATTTAATGACTAAATTCTATTGTTTTGTCCAAAGTTAAAAACAGAAGTACTTTTGCATTTTCACATTTGTGTAGGAAAGCATTATTTATTCTTGACGTAAGTGAAAACTTCAGTGCTTTGAGTTATAAACAGAAGAGCTGTGATTGTAATTGCCAGTTAACTTATGTAGTGGAATCTCCATTATCAAAACGTGGTGATCCAAAGAAGTAAGTGGTGATATTGTGCACAGTTTACCAAAAGAAATTCGAATTGGTCTTCAAAACATTAGTACATTCACCCATGCTGCAGTGTCCTCATATGCAGGAGCCTAGAGAAGAAAAGTTACAAATGTCATTCAAAGTGATTCATTTTAATCACTTTAATTCATTCATTCAAAGTGATAATTCATTTTAATCAAATGGGGCTGGGGAAAGTCCAGTATATCTATATGACTTTAGAGAGTGAGGACTATAATACTCTGTGAGGGTGGCATACTCCACTGCCATTCATGGTAAAGGAAGGCAGATAAAACATTTCCATGTCAAGTGGAAGACAAATATTTTCAATGAACATGTACACAGATGCTCATATACACCTCCACATAGTGAAAATATGAAGACCTCTTTTTTATTTATATATGACAGTGGAATGCATTACAATTCTTATTACACATATATAGCACAGTTTTTCATCTCTGTATACGTAGTATATGCACACCAATTCGTGTCTTCATACCTGTACTTTGGGTAATAATGATCATCATATTCCACCATATTAATAATTCCATGCCACCTCCCTTCCCCTCCAAACCCTCTGTCCTATTAGAAGTTTGTCTATTCCTTCCATGCTCTCACTCCCTATCTCACTATTAATCAGCCTCCTTATATCAGAGAAAACATTCAGCATTTGGTTTGGGGGGATTGGCTAACTTCACTTAGCATTATCTTCTCTAACTCCATCCATTTACCTGCAGATGCCATTATTTTATTCTCTTTTATTGCTGAATAATATTCCATTGGTATGTATGCTACATTTTTTTTATCCATTCATCTGTTGAAGAGCATATAGTTTGGTTCCACAGTTTAGCTATTGTGAATTGTGCTGCTATAGACATTGATATGGCATCAAGACCTCATTTTGAAGGTTTCCTCAATACAAGCCACAGGGTCACAATATTGACACATTTCTAATTATTTTATTCTTTGCATTATTTTTATAGCTAGCCTTCCTTATATTGGTAGCAATTATAGCTAGCCTTCCTTATATTGGTAGCAAACCAAGGGTACCCATTATTTTGGATGCTGCTTCACAGCAGATGGTTAGTATAGCAGTGTATTGGTTAGTGTGTTTTTCATGTGATGAAGTATCTGTGGGGCTTTGATTTCATAAAGTGAAGCAAGTCATTGTTATGAAGAGCAATGAAAAACCTGGGAAATTGATGGAAGGGAAAAGTGAGTTAAAGGGAGCAGAAGTGTCTGGATCTGGGGCATTGAGAACCATCAGGTTTTACTCAGTGCTTCCATCTGGAGATGTTCATAAAGGCAATTTGATTTCTAGAACTTCCCAAGTGTTGAATTCCAGTGTGGTCTATGAACAGCCACATCATCTTTGCTAAAGCAATTCATTCCTCTTTTAATAACAGAATATTCATGTCTTATTCCGTCTCTGATCTTGTTGAGAGGGAGGCATTTTAAATTGTAACACTTTTGCTAACTTCCCAAGCATCTCCATTCTTGTTCTTTCAGTCTGTCCACTAGTACTTAACATTATTTTTCTCTGCACAGATCCAGTGCCCCACTTGCCAATTCATCTGGTGTTTCAAGTGCCACTCTCCTTGGCATGAAGGTGTTAACTGCAAGGAGTACAAAAAAGGAGACAAACTGTTGCGTCACTGGGCCAGCGAGATCGAGCATGGGCAGAGGAATGCCCAGAAGTGTCCAAAGTGCAAGGTGAGATGACCTTTTGGAAGAAAGGGAAGAAATGTGTACGTCTGAATGTAATTGAATAATATCCATGATATTGAAATGAATCATATTTATAATTATCTGAACACCGGTATGGAGAAAGAGTATTTGCTGTTTCATTTTAGAAGAGAAATTATATCATGTCTTAAACTTAACATTTTATATATAAATAAGGTATATTCTTATGAGTTATTATACATTACAAAATTTAAGGAGACTACTTGAATTAATTTAAAACATCAAAATCTTTATTTTTTCTTTAAAAATTAAGAAGGAAAAGCTAGCTTGGAAATGATATAAACATATCATTTCTAGCTTGCCACACTACTGTAATCCCTACCCAATTAATTTTGCAGGCTTTGAATCCTTACTGTCCTTTGCTTTTCTTGTCCTTTGGCCATTGCATATCACTTTAGGATTACTTTAAATTGATCATTTCATTTCTTTGTATATCTCTTGAGGTAGAAACTAATACTCAAAATCAGGACTTATGGATTTTATGAATCCCACTTTAATTTCCCTCTTATAATCTTTCAAGTAATCAAGAGTTAATAGACATTTGAGCTGAAACCTGAATATGGAAAGTTAGCCATGCAAATAGCAAGGGAAGATCCTCCTACATAGAGATCACCAAGTAAATGCAGCAAAAAAACAACAACAAACAAACAAACAAAAACAAAACAAAACAAAACGGTTCTTATAAGATAGGGATCTGTTGAAGTTTTTTTTTAACTTACTTTAGAAAATTTTATGCGTGTATATATGTATACTGTACCATATGTGGTTTTTATCTGTTGCCAAATTTACTTTTGGATATCATATCCAAATTGAGCTTAATTTTCTTTTAAGAATAACTCTGCAATTCCTTCTTTCCTGGAGACTTAGAACAGATAAGTGAAATTCCCATTATCAGAAATACTTAAAATTTTAATAATTGTGAATCCAATTTGAAGTAGTAAAAGTATTTTATAAATCCTATTATTGAGAATAATACTAATATATGGATCTACTATTCCAAATTCACATACTGTTTTATATATACCGTAAGTAAAACGTATAGCATGAAATGATAATGTTGTATTTTTGGCAATTGGAAGAAATTTTGAAATAGTTTAATTGAACCAGCTTTGTAAAAAGTGATGTAAAGAGATGTGTGTGAGCTAAAGCTTTGTCTGTTTTCCCTGTAGGAGGCAAATTCATTCAGTTATTTATTTATTTATTTATTTATTTATTTAGGTCTATTTCAGCTCAGTGCATCGATTGTTCAGTACCCTTATATTTTTCATCCCATTGCAAAACAATTTAAAAGGAGGACCTTTTTCCTTTTTTTCTTGCCTTTTGAGTTTATTTGAAGCTACTGCTCAGTTTTAAACCACAGGCTAGTGGGAATTTGAGTGCTGTTAAGTCATTCTACTTAGCACTTTGCTCATAAGTATACTTTATATCTCCCTGGAAAACTGTAAAAAAAACAATTGCCAGTCAGCCATTCTGGTACTGTTTTCTGAATGAACAATACTGCAGCATTATGCCTTGAGGAAATTCTGATTGAAATGAAGTCATACATAAAAACATACGCTTATGACTTCAATCCCTTGATCTAACATTAAAGCGACCCTCGTGTGTAAAAGAAAAAGCAATGAAACATAAGGAATTTTCTGAGCACACTAATAACCTCCCACAGTTTTGACAAATATAGATAATCAGTTAAAAGAAAGCCTGCATGCTGATTCCCTCTTGTAGAAATAGCTCCATGGTCTGATTACCTTTTAAATAAATGAAAGGAAAAGAGCCAGGGAATTCGTTTACATGACTACATTGTAGCTGAGAACTTGTTTTCTGGTCAAATTCACATTTATGAAATTTATATTCATCTAAGTCACGATTTATGACGTGTTTTGAGTGCAAACTTTTTTTTTTCTTTTAAGCGCAGCTTAAAAGATTTTGTTTATTCTGATTTTTGTTGTTGGACCGTAAAATTATGTTCCCCCCATGAAACATTTCTATATTTATGATAGAAATTGATATAAAATTAATGAATTCATGTTTATTTTACTTGCTTAGGCTCTTTCCGTAAATGTATGTCTTAAAATTTATAAATATAAAAAAGGAAGATGGTAGGAGTGTTGGTAAAACAAAACTTTCATGTATTATCTTCAGATGGACAAAACCATTGTTATTTATTTTCATATAAATGCTTTTAATATTAATAATCAAATATATGTAAAATTTTGTTGTGAGCAAAGTATATTTATATTTTTGTACCCTGCTATAGGTATATTATGTTTTAAATTCAAAATTGTAATGGATTTTGATTTTAAAATAATCATTTTGTCTATAAAGGTTATAAAACATATGCTGGAAATTTGGGCAAAGAAGGAGAGTATTTAGTCCTGGACTTTAATCTACTCACTGTGTCAAATGGGGTTTTTGCCCCATTGGAATTACTTTTTGTAGTGTTTTATCTAAAATATGCCAATAATTTGATACATTAGTTTCTTCACTTAACAGCCCAAACAATTCTAAAGCAATTTTCAAAACATTTCATTAACTGTGTAATATTTGCGTGAATATTTTACCTTTCTACACCACAGCTGATTTAGGTTTGGGTCTGTATATAATGTGTTGATGATATTTATCTTGAATGTATTTTTTTCCCATGTTTTGAACCTCTAAAACATACATAAAGGTAGAATAGGTTAAATATCAATGCTTTTAGTTTTGGGCATGTATTGCCAATTTGCTTTCCAAAAGAAATGAAACAATTTGTAATTCTATGAGAAAAATTTTGAGGATTTGTTTCTGGGTGAACACTTCTTTAATTCTTTTAATTTTAATAGTTTTAAAATGCATTGTTCTCACATTTTGCATTTTCTTATTTACTTATGAACTGAATATAAATATTCTTTTAAAATACAATATGTTTTGTAGTTTATAATACAACCTTTTTAAAGTTTTCTGTTCATATCCTTTGCCTATTTTTGTGGCCTAGGTTGGAGCATAAATTTTATTATCAAATTATGTGAACTATTTATTTGAAAATGTTTTCTGGTGTATTTTATTTACATATTTTCATTTTTCTCAGATGATAGTGTTTTTTGTTCGTTTATTTCTTTTTTTTACTTGATAGTCCTTATTTCTAGGTTAATCCTTATCTTTAGGTTTACATATATATTTTTTAATTTTTTTCAAATTTTTCTTTTACCATATATACGTTTCTCTTACCCTTTGGACACATACATTTTTTTTTATATATTTACAAATCTTTCATACATATTTTTCTTCTAAACTTAATCATTTATTATTCATATGCTTGATTATAAAGGTCTGTTTACTTTCTGTCTTTAAGCCATTTGATTTCCAAATATTTGAACTCTTTAATTGGCCCATAATTTATTTTGGTGATTATTATACATTGAGTACTGAAACTAGTTTTTCCATCTTGGAATGGTTATTAAATAATTCTCCTACCAACTGATTTGTAATTTCTTTCTAAGCACATTTTAAGTTTTGATACATAAGAGTCTCTTTTCTTAGCTAATCTTACTGCTAATTTTTCATGAAATTTATGTGTCCATACTGATGAGTTTTAAATGATTATGCCTTTGTAAAATCTGCCCATTTGGCTGGGGTTGTGACTCAGAGGTAGAACATTCACCTAGCAGTCATGAGGCACTGGGTTTGATCCTCCACAACACATAAAAATAAAGATATTGTGTTCACCTATAACTACAAAATAATTATTTACAAATTGCCCATTCAAGCAGAGTTTGATTATCTAAAAATTCATTTAATTGGTACTCTCAATAGAGTAATTCTTTTCTCTCCTTTACTTCTCCCATAATGAGATTTTTACCTTTTTCTCAAGTGGAAAGACCAATTTGATACTTGGTATAGTATTATGAAGAAATTGACTTGTGCTAAGAAGTCAAAATTATTATTTATAATTCATTTTTGACAGATAGTAAGTATTAAAAGTTTTCTCTCACATTTATTAGCAAGATACTTATTCATAAATGTGATTTTTTTCATACCAAGGTGAACATATACAAACATTTCTGGAAGTTACCTATTTATAAAACATTTTATGAAAATTTTATGTTACTGTATTAACATCAACTGTGGTTAGCATTTTATTTGAATGTCATTGCCTTCTAATACAGAATTTTGTTCAGTTATGAAACACCATTTGTTATCTTACAAATAATTTTTATAATATTCTTACTCTACAGAAAACCTGTGCTAATATTGAGTTTCTTTTTTACTTAGTTATCAACAAAACTAAATCTAGTTTATAAAATTTAATGTTTAAAATAAATTTAAAGAAAGTAAGGAAATTAAATTTTGTTGAAAATATGAAATATGTTCATTTTCATGCAAAAAATTCATTTTGAGACTATTTGATGAGATACTAAAATCTGAGTTATATGCACACCTAAAAATAACAGTAATATACAAGATGAAACAAATAAATACCATGTATGCAGCTTCACTCACACTTAAACTTTAGCTCTCAATTATTATTAAAGTTATTATTTGTTAGTAATTTTTTTTTGTACTGGACAGTGAATCCAGGGGCACTTAACCACTGAGCCATATCCCCATCCCTTTTAATATTTTAAAATTTAAGACAGGGTCTTACCAAGTTGCTTTGGGTCTCAATAAGTTGCTGAGGCTGGCTTTAAACTTGCAATCCTCCTGCCTCAGCCTCTCAAGCCACTGGAAATTTGGACATATGCCACCATGCCTGGTTGAATTTTTTTTAATTGTGGAGAATTCAATAATTTTTTTTTAAATCATGGTAAAAATCATGTTACATAACTTATGCTTACTATTTTCAAATGCAAATATGGTTTTTAAAAATTTGTATTTCATTTGAAAATTTTAAAAAATTCCTCAACTAAAGTTCACAGTCATTACAATTGTCTTTTAAAAAAAAATTATGTTTTGGGTCCTGGAGATTTAACCCAAAGGCACTTTACCACTGA